TTACAAAACCTTGCCTTTATCAACATATCATGATAAAATTTTCTGTGTCAATTATACAAAACCTTGGTATTCACAATTCATGAAAATTTTTCCTTGTCAGTAAAAAAAAAGCCTTTCCCATTCTCAAATACAAGTTTGATGGGGTCTTGTTTATAAAAGCCGGCCCTATTCTCAAAATACAGAAAAGATTTTTCTTGTCAGAAATTTTAAAACTTGCCTTTTTTTCAACATATCATTAGATTGGGCCCCTGTGTATATACAAAGCTTCCATTCCAACATATGATAAGAATGGCCTGTGTATTTTACAAACCTTCCTATTCATCAAAATATTAAAAAAAGTTTGGGCGGTCAGTTTTTAAAAAAACTTCCCCGTTTATTTTACTGAAAGATTTTGGCTCTGTCAGTATTAAAAAAGCGCCTATTATTAAATCATGATAAATTTGGGCCGTGAAAATTTAAAAAAGCTTTTCCTATTTTATCAAATACAGAAAAGGGCTCGTGCAGATATACAAAACATTGCCAAAAATTTTTAAAAATCTGAAAGAAATTTCCGTGTCAATTAACAAACCTTCTATTCATCAAAATATCAGAAAGGTTGGTCCTTTTATTTTAACAGCATTGCCTATTCATTAACATATCATGAAAAGATTGGTCTCGTGTCATTATTATACAAAGCCTTGCATATTCATCAACATATCATGATAAGATTGATCACCTTTGAGTATACACAAAGGCTTGACTATTCGTCAACTTATCATGATAAGATTGGTCTCGTGTCAGTATTGTACAAAGCCTTGCCTATTTATCAACATATCATGATAAGATTGTTCTCATGTCAGTATTATACAAAGCCTTGCCTATTCATCAACATATCATGATAAGATTGGTCTCGTGTCAGTATTATACAAAGCCTTGCCTATTCATCAACATATCATGATAAGATTGGTCTCGTGTCAGTATTATACAAAGCCTTGCCTATTCATCAACATATCATGATAAGATTGGTCTCGTGTCAGTATTATACAAAGCCTTGCCTATTCATCAACATATCATGATAAGATTGGTCTCGTGTCAGTATTATACAACGCATTGCCTATTCATCAACATATCATGATAAGATTGGTCTCGTGTCAGTATTATACAAAGCCTTGCCTATTCATCAACATATCATGATTAGATTGGTCTCGTGTCAGTATTATACAAAGCCTTGCCTATTCATCAACATATCATGATAAGATTGGTCTTGTGTCAGTATTATACAAAGCCTTGCCTATTCATCAACATATTATGATAATATTGGTCTCGTGTCAGTATTATACAAAACCTTGCCTATTAATCAACATATCATGATAAGATTGGCCTCCTGTCAGTATTTTGCAAAGCCTTGCCTTTTCATCAACATATCATGATAAGATTGGTTTCGTGTCAGTATTATACAACGCCTTGCCTATTCATCAACATATCATTATCAGATTGGTCTCATGTCGGTATTATACAACGCCTTGCCTATTCATTAACATATCATGATAAGATTGGTCTCGTGTCAGTATTATACAACGCCTTGTCTATTCATCAACATATTATCAGATTGGTCTCATGTCAATGTTATACAACGCCTTGCCTATTCATCAACATATCATGATAAGATTGGTCTCGTGTCAGTATTATACAAAGCCTTGCCTATTCATCAACATATCATGATAAGATTGGTCTCGTGTCAGTATTATACAAAGCCTTGCCTATTCATCAACATATCATGATAAGATTGGTCTCGTGTCAGTATTATACAACGCCTTGCCTATTCATCAACATATCATGATAAGATTGGTCTCGTGTCAGTATTATACAAAGCCTTGCCTATTCATCTACCTATCATGATAAGATTGGTCTCGTGTCAGTATTATAGAAAGCCTTGCCTAGTCATCAAAATATCATGATAAGATTGGTCTTATGTTACCTCGTTTTATTTTTTTTAATTAAAAATTGCAATAATTTTAACATTTTGTGAAAGTTGTAGAGACTTTTTAAGAAGGGAATACATTTGATTGAGTATGAAGAATATTTTTCTAACGCTTATTGTGTCCCCGTTATCTGATTCAGGAAAAGGGTGAAATGTGTATCCCAACTTCTTAGTCAGGAAGAGGGTGTACGGTGTCCTAGCTGACTGTCATTGACTCTCACGAAGAGGGCGTACTGTATCCCCACTAATTGCCAGGAAGAGGGTTTAGTTTGTCCGCAGGAATTGGCTATCAGGAAGAAGGTATACTGTGTCCCCTCTATCTGACAAGATGTGTACTGTGTCACATTGTCTGAATGTCAGAAAGATGGCATACTGTGTCCCCTCTATCTGACAAGATGTGTACTGTGTCACATTGTCTGAATATCAGGAAGAGGGCATACTGTGTCCCCACGTTTTGACTATCATGAAGAGGGTGTAATGTGTCTCATTATTTGACTATCAGGAAAAGGGTATACTGTATCCCCACTTTCTGACTGTTAAGAGGTGTAATGTGTTAACACGATCTGACAGGAAAATATGTACTTTATCCCCACTATCTGACTGTCAGGAAGAGGGTGTTCAGTGTCTCTACTATCTGAACATCAAGAAGAGGGTTACTGTGTCCCCACTATTTGACTGAGAAACTGTGTCCCCACTGTCTGTCATAAAAGGGTGTACTGTGACCTCATTATCCAATTGTAATAAATTCTCCCTACTATCTGTCAGAAAGACGGTTTAGTGTATCCTCACTATCTGACTGTCATGAAGATGGTGCACCTTGCACCCGTTATCGGTATATAATTGTGGGAAACTGTCCCCACTATCTGTCAGAAAGAATGTGTACTTTGTCCTCACTATCTGTCGGGTAAAGGATGTACTGTGTCCCTACTTTTCGACTGTGACGATCTGTGTCCTCACTATCTGTCTGTCAGGAAGAGAGTGTATCTGATAACCATTGGAGAAAGAATTACGGTAGTGGGAATCACAATGGGGGAGGGTATAATATATAAATAAAACGGGTTATGAAGCATTTTCAATCAGAAAAGCGTTAAACTCCCAACTGATAGTTTTGTTCGAATCACGGCGTACAAGTCTGTGTGTACAGAACCACCTGTTAAAGACTTTCATTTCTAATTATTTTTCCTATACATAAATGAAGTGTATGTTACCTTAGAAATAAAATGGAGGGATGAAACTTACTGATGAAGAAACAAATAAGTACAATATAAATATCCTATGTATAGTTAGTCTTTGAAATTATTCCGCGGGATTTCAAACCAAAGAAACGAGTCTAAATGTTATACATGCAAGTTGAATGTATTAATGTATTGTCTTGGTTCTATATTATGCAGACCCAAAATGTAACCGCAGTCTTAATCCTTACCAGTCAAGTGTCACATAATTGTGACACCGAGCGCCATACAGTGTCCGATGTCTCCGTATCAATCCATACATCAAAATGAAGATTGTGGTAAAGAGCAGTACAATTAGAGAGATTGTCTCGCAAGCTTCGTCGTCACAAATTCTGCTGAAATAAAGTTTATCTGAAAGCAAATGATCTTGTTACACAGAAATTTAGGCAAATAATTTACGATGCACCAATATACGAACCGTTGCGACCCAAGAAATTCGTATATATCATTTTACCCTTTTTCATATCCCCGGTTTATTTTGGCCATATTTATGTTCCTGTGTGCTATGACCTATGTTTATATCCCTTGAATATTAGGACCATGTTTACATTCCTTGGGTATTATATCTCTTTGGTATTAGGGCCAATTTTTTATCGATTGGGTATTATGACAATGTTGATATCCCTGGATGTTATGATAATGTTAATATCCTGTGAGTATTGTGACCATGTTTGTATCCTTTGGGTATTATGACTATGTTTATATCCCCAGTAAATAACGGTTTATGTTTAAAAATATCGTAAAGCACAGACGAATTCGTGTTAACAAGGAGATGACACGCAGGTTGGTTCAGATGAATATGTTACGGTTGAATGAAGGACAATGTTATGTACAGACACAAGAAAGAATGCGTGAATATTTTACACCGTTCAGAATATTACTACGTAGACATGGTTAATGCACTCCTATAGTATGATGACAATGAACTCCTTATCGAAGCAGACTGACTTTAAAGATTTAAAAGTAAGTTCCTTCTGATTTAAATGCAAGTTCTCTCTCTCTCGCTTTATATATATATATATATATATATATATATATATATATATATATATATATATATATATATATATATATATATATATATATATATATATATATATTTAGATATTCTTTGAGAGCTCTTTTCGTCTGTGAGAGGGCTAGTTTTGAACCATTTCCTGAGAAATGTGGTAAGGAGAAGAATAAAATATATGGCACAAATTATTGAAGTGAAATATTTGAATATTATTTGACGAACCCATTGATAATACGAGGGTACGCAGTATATTGTGGTCATTGGTACTGTGTGAAGGGGTTGGGTTGGGTTGGGATGTGTAAATAAAAGGGTGGTGAAGCTGCCATTGCGAGACATTGTTGCTGGTTGAAGGGGATTGGGATATCCAAAGAAAAGGGGTGGAAAATATGCCATTTTGAGTCATTAAAATAGCTATTTTCTATGCTATTTTATACGAATCTATCCTAACAAAAACCGTTAATGCAACTTCATTTTACATAGAGAAAATTTTATGAACAAATATGTTTGATATCATCGAAACATACAATAAAAAAGAATAGACGCAACTTTTTTAATTTTCTTTGGGATGTGTGTGTGTGTGTGTGTGTGTGTGATTTGGATTTTCAACGTACCTGAGAAATATTTCAGTTATATCACTACGATATCCGCAGTGTTGCAGTTTATAATGGTGTCTAGGACTTCGGCGTCATACCGCAGACTTTTAGCAGTATGTCCAGTCCAGTCACCTTATCCTGACAAATGATGTGCGCCAAGCAAGGCAGCTGCTAATAACATTTTGTATAAGTGTTTGGTATGACTACGTCAGGGTTCGAACTTGCAACCTTCCGCATTCGAGGCGGACGCTCTAACCACTAGGCCACCGGAGCGGTATCACTTATATGGTATGCACCGTATTTATTTATATTTCCATTTCATAAATTTATTAGATTTTAGTGATTAGTTCTTTGATTATGGAAAGTCGGTGATGGGGAAATATTTCTTAGTCCGAGTAATTACCCAGTATCTAGGGCCAAAAGTGACACAGTGTAGTAATGATGCCGTTTCATGATGTCATTCTTGACTTACTTGATTTCAGTCCAAAGTGCGATAAGTGGGCATGAGCCAAGAAGTACTTATTTGATTATATATGTGTAGATCGGTAGTGTATTACCATGTGAACTATTGGTGATGAGGACTGATATTTTGTAGAACTGAATTTATGAAAAGGGTTGTGACATATCTGGAGACATCTGTTTTTGTTGGCATAATGGCAAATGTAGTGTAAAGTCACAATTAGAAAGTAGCTATAAACTGATTTTCGGCTGACCCAGGGATAGAGTAGAAAAATAGTTCACGGTAGTTAATGTTTGAATTGTGATGTGGCTTGTGATGATGAAAAGAACTGGCGTTTCCTGAATGAATTCTAACAGTTAGAAGCCATGCAATTGTTAAGTTGTGATATTTGTGGTGATTCATTTATTAGAGGAAAATTAATTACAGTCTTGGCGCGTTATTAGAACTTCCAGTAGACAACGGTTGCTGTCGAGAAATCCTTGTAAATCACTGGAAACAAGTGACTTCGGGAGAATTCACGCGAGTGTTTGATTCGCACGGAAAAGCGACTCCTTTGTGTATAACAAGAAAATTGTATTGTGGCAGCTGGTGAGAGATTTAGTGACGTGTATATATATGGAAATCACAGGATAATCTTAGTCTTACAAAGGAAAGTAATAAACTCATTAACATAAACAATTTTTAGCCATATTGGAATATCTGACAAGTGTCATACGTGATTAAGGATATATAAGTTTGTAAATGTATGTATGTATGTATACATACATACATACATACATACATACATACATACATACATACATACATACATACATACATACATACATACATACATACATACATACATACATACATACATACATACATACATACATACACATAGATACACATACATACATACATACATACATACATACATACATACATGCATGCATGCATGCATGCATGCATGCATGCATGCATGCATGCATGCATACATACATACATACATACATACATACATACATACATACATACATACATACATACATACATACATACATACATACATACATACATACATACATACATACATACATACATACATTCATACATACACACACATATATATTGTTGGCTTCCGTTAGTCCCGAGAGACGATGGAAAGGCGCCCATGAAAGGTGTCCTAGTTTGTAGTTGTGCAGCTTCTTATGTGGCTATAAAGCCCCACATGGGAGTGGCAATACTTGCTACAGTTGCTGCACTTGAAGTTTGAGTCAGGTCTTGGAAGGACCTGCATCCTCTTCCTCTGAGATCTTTTCTCATCGGCGAGCTGTCGTAACTTTTCCACGCTATCTTTCAGACCTGTGACCAGAGCATGTCGCCAGCTGGACTTGTCGAGGGCAAGCTCTTCACAGGTGTTGATCTCGATCCCAAGAGCTTTCATATCGTGCTTGAAGACATCCGTGAAGCGAAGATGTGTCCGTCCGATTGATCTTCTGCCTGAGGCAAGCTTAGAGAAGAGAAGGTCTTTGGGAGCCGTCCATCATCCATTCGACGCACATGGCCCAGCCATCTGATGCGACGTAGGCGGAGGAGTGTGACCATGCTGAGAATTTTGGCCTGTTGAAGCACCTCGTTTGTCACATGATCGTTCCAGGTGATCCCGAGTATTCGACGGAGACAACGCATGTGAAAGGCATTCAGTCGATTCTCCTGAGAGGCGTACAGGGTCCAAGTGTCGCTGGAGTTCAGGAGAGTGCTAAGCACGCAGGCACTGTATACGGAGATCTTAATGTTCAATGTCAGCTTGCTGTTGCTCGACTCTCTCTGCAACAATCTAGAGAGAGTTGTTGACGCCTTTCCAATCCGCTTGCTGATCTCAGCATCGAGTGAGAGGTTGTTGGTGATGGTATAGTCAAGGTAAGTGAACTCACTGACTACTTCTAGTTTGTAGTTGTTGATGATTATGCTGGGAGGGTCTGCGTCCTGAGCCATCACGTTGGTTTTCTTTAGGCTGATGGTCAACCCGAATTCATCACATGCTTTAGCAAAGCGGTCCATTAGGCCGTTGTAGTTCAGCTTCTGTTTGAGTGACTATAGCAGCATCATCTGCAAAGAGCATGTCCCTAATGGTTGCTTTCCTTACTTTGTTCATTGCCTTTAGTAATGTCAGGTTGATCAGTCTGCCGTCTGAACGTTTGTGCAGGTAGATCCTTTCTGTGGACGTCACAAAGGCGTACTTAAGCAGGACAGCGAAGAAGATGTCAAAGAGCGTAGAGGCAAGGACACAGTCTTGATTCACTCCGCTGTGGATGTTGAATGGGTCTTACGATGAGCCATCATACTGCACTGTGCCTTTCATGTCTTCATGGAAGGACTGGACCATGCTTAACAGCTTTGGAGGGCATCCAATGTTCGTCAGGATTTTGAAGAGTCCGTCTCTGCTGACCAGATCGAATGCTTTGGTGAGGTCTATAAAAGCCAGGAAGAGAGGTCTGTGTTGTTCCCTGCACTTCTCCTGCAATTGCCTGATGGAGAAGATCATGTCGATTATGGACCTCTCTACGCGGAACCCACATTGAGTCTCTGGATACACACTGTCGGCAAGCGTCTGCAGGCTGTTCAGGATGATTCTAGCGAAGACTTTACCCACGATGCTGAGAAGTGATATGCCCCAGTAGTTGTTGCAGTCACTTGTTCTTATACAGAGTTATGATGTTGGCGTCTCTCATGTCCTGAGGCACCGCACCTTCATCTCAGCACTGGCAGAAAAGATCAAAAAGGTGTGTGAATAATGCCAACACTTGATGACTTCTACTGGGATGCCATCCTTTCCTGGGGCTTTACCTGTGGTCAGTTTCTCTAAGGTCAACTTTAGTTCTGCCTCAGTAGGTTTCTCATCCAGTTTGGTCAAACAAGGGAGGTTTTCAATGGCGTTGAGGGCATCGTTGGTCACGTTATTCTTTCTGGATTACAGTTCGGAGTAGTACTCCACCCAGCGCTCCATCTGTTTGCTCTTGTCGTGGATGACATCGCCTGCCGAAGACTTCAGTGGAGCTATCACTTTCTTCGTTGCACTCATTGCTTTCTTAATGCCATTGTACATGCCACTGATGTTTCCGTTGTCTACTGCTGACTGGATACTCTGACAGAGTAGAAGCCGTTATTCATTGGCGCATTGCCGTGCTAACCTCTGCACCTCGGTTTTGGTAGACCTATATGCATGTAGTGTACTCTCGCAGGGAGGACGCTTGTATTCCAAGTTGGCACTGTGACGCTCTTCTATTGCTGGCATGAGTGTGGCGGAATTGGCTTCAAACCAGTCATTGTTCTTTGTCTGCTTCTTACCAGTAAACAGTATCTCTGATGTTGTCCCATCTCTCTTTGGCACTGCCGTGGGGAGGTTCTGAACTGAACGCCTTGGAGAGGGCGTAAGTGAATTCTTCAGCATTGTCTGGATATGACGTCTTGCTCACATCAATGTGTGGTTTACCCACTTGCCTAGAGTGGTGGATCTTCTTTGGTTGAAGCTTAAATTTACAGCAAACTAGAGAGTCATCGGTGTCGCAGTCAGCGCTGTGGAATGTACGAGTAAGCTGCACACCCTTCATGGCAGAACGTCTTGTTATGATCAAGTCGAGCTGATGCCAGTGTTTGGATCGGGGATGCCGACAAGACACTTTGTGCTGTGGTTTTGTCTGAACAAATGAATTGTTGATGCTGAGGTTGTGGTACGAGCACATTTCTAATAGACTTTGCCCGTTTTCATTCATCTTCGTAATGCCAAACTTGCAGAGACACAAAGGCCAAGAGTCGTGATCGGCACCCACCCTAGCATTGAAGTCGCCCAGTAATATCAAGTTCTCTTCCTTTGGAATTTTGTCGATGAGCGAGTCTAGCTCGTTGTACAACGCATCTTGGTATCTGTGGTGGCACTGAGTGTGGGAGCGTAAACACTGATTAGATTAACAAGCCCGGTTGTGGAGTGGAGGCGAAGAGATAGCAGTCTTTCGTTTCCTTGTTGGCAGGGTTCTATCATAGCCTGCAGAAAGTTTCTGACAGCAAACCCAACACCATATTCCCTAACTTCGTCGGAGCTCTTACCTTGCCAGAAGAACCTGTAGTTCTTTTCTCTGAGGGACCCAGAATCTGGTAGCCGTGTCTCTTGAAGTGAGGCGATATCGATATGGAGTCTTGCTAGTTCGTCGTTGATGACTGAAGTCTTTCGAACATCACTGATTGCCTGGAGATCATATGAAAGCCCTGTCAGCATTGTCCGGACGTTCCAGGTACCCCGCTTGAGAATTGTTGATTTCCTTGTTGCTTTGCTTTTGTTTTTTCTTGGTGCTGTAGTTGCAGCCCGCTTGTCAGGTACTCACGTATCTAAGATCTGCGCACCCAGCAAGGCAGGTGAGCTGTGGAGGGACGGCACCTTATTGGCTGAAGGCTGCCCAGCTTAAGGCGGGCGATAGCTGTCCAATGAGACCTGTTGGTCTCTCCCACCGTCGGAAGCAACCCCTGGCGTCTAACTCTACGCCCATCGAGTGATGACTTATAACCGGTAACTGTTGCTTCCCGTCTTGTATCAACGCTGTGAAGCGAAGCTGGAGTGTTTTCTCCAGGGCGCAAGCCTGGGCAAGGTTATATGGAGAGTCAGCTGTTGCCCATGCAACTGACTCCCCCTCTCCACGCAACTGATGGATCCAAGGGAAAGGATAAGCCGATACGTCATGGCACCAGCGACGTTGCAGGAGTTGCCGAGGTGTCACTAAAAGCAGTGACAAGTCGCCTTAGGGACTCCGTCTCCGGATTTTCAGTTGGGTTTA